TCAAACGTTAACAATTGCCATGTAAGGAAGATGAAAGGCGGAGTGGATGGAACGCTTACATATATTCAGCTCCATTATTCTCGCCTCAAAAACCAGTCCAGCAACCCTTTAATCACTCAGCAGCTCATCTCTAAGTTGTCTCTATTATTAACAACAAAGTGCTTGTTATTTCCATGGCCATCCTTTGACGGAGCCAGGGATGGGGGTGAGGATGCTTGTGGTGAGAAACACGGCACGGCACAGACACAGGATGAGCAGTGCAGGCAGGGCCCTGGCATGCCAGCTGAGGAGGAGTGATCAGAACAGAGCAACTGTGAGCCAAGGGGCAAAACAGAGACGGAGGAGATGGTGAGACTCTTCTATCCAGGGAAAGGGTGGGCACCCCTTAATTCTGCAAACGGCAAAACCAGCCAGAAAACCTTTTGGGCAACTTCTGAGCAGGATATACCCATCCCTATGTTTGCACTGCAGCAGAGAAGCCTTTCAGAAATGCACATGACCTAACAGGTCTAGCTTCTCTAAGTAATTTTAACGAACAGTAATTGGAACTCCTGGCTGAAACCACAGGGGATTTCCTCATGCAAAGCCACAGCGTGGACCTGGCTCTGCTGTTGCTATAATTAGCAAGTCTACATAAAAGTACCATTATCATCCTGAGACTTCTCTGGCCTGATTTGCACTGATATTCATGATGGAATTGCCTCCTTAGCCTGGCTTCTCGTATCGCTCCACCAAGAAATAAGGTATCTGTGGATGAATCAAACAAGATGGGAGGGGGAAGGAAGAAAGTTCTTCAAACTCAACCTTTTTTATCAGCAGCTGAAGGAAAGGAAACTAATGGGTACTTCAGGTTAATGAAAAAGGGAAGCTTGCAGGGATGCAGTCACTTTTAGATCGGTCAGGATTACCCAAGGCCAACAAAATGGTTTTTTACTACTACTAGGTAAGGTTGTCCTCTTGGTGCAAAGGGTTGCATGTTATCCTTCAGGGGTCTAGCCCTGGTGTCTCATCTTCTGTGTGGTGAGGCTGAATGACAGTTGTCTTACAGACACCCTCACAGCTCTGGCAAAGTGAGAAAAGGGTTTCATCGTTCAGTGAATCTGCATCAGGCGGAGTTCAGATTCCTGTCATGGAAGCCAAGAAAGGACAATCTCTACCCAGTGACTGCAGACCCAGGCCACTGCTTTTCAGGGATGGCTACGAACACTGGAGACTAGGGGTATCTCTACGTTACTGCAAAGGCACCTTTCACAGCAAGATTTGGAGCATTGATAGTTTTACATCTCTGATACAGCCAGGGTCCTGCCCATCCTGTGGGCTTCCCACCTCCCTGCTTTTATTGGGGTACAGTGCAGGTGCAGGTCACTCTGCACATCCTCTGGGGCTGCTCATGGCAAAACCACCTCAGCCTTAGCAGTGCTGACACCAGACACATACCAGGCGCTCATATTCCCACAGGCACTGGAAATAGCATGGCCACAGCCCCACAGCCCTGTTCACCACAGGGATAAGTGTTCACGATGGACATGCCAGGAGAAAAGAACCACAGATGCTGGCTGACATGGCTCACATCGTGGAGACACCCCAAGATTACAAATAAAGAGCAAACTAAGAGCAGCAAAAACTTCTGGGAGCAATGCTGGTGCCACAGCTCAAACAGCATCCCCAGTGTCAACAAGTACCCAACCTCTTCCCATGGTTCTTCTCCTGGGAAAACCCCGTCTCCCCTTCAACTTTTCTGGTTGACAAAGTGGTGATTAGTTGGACTTAATGATCTTAGAGGTCTTCTCCAACCTAAACGATTCTTTGATTCAGTGATTCCACACTCACACCTGCTTATCACCAAGGCCATCTCCTCTCCAGGGGGACGGCTGTCCTGATTTGTCTCCATACCTGTCAGACACTCACTGCAAAGGCATTCATGCCTGAAGAATGACAGGAACGCCTGCTCCACACCCTCCAAGTTGTGCCTTGGCAGGCAGCAGAGCGGCCTCCGAGAAGGAAGAGAGCTTGCTGCTCATTCCAGAGGCAATCATCAACATCCACAAAGGGAAGGAACCTGGGGAGGCTCAGAGGAAACCGTGAATTATTGCTTTATATAATCCTGTACTGCGCCAAAGACTGGGAGGGGATTTTCCAAAAGCATTGGCTTGTCTTTGTGGCTTCTGCAAGGAAAAGAAGGAAGAAGGTGCTCCAGAAGAAAACCAGGTTGTATGACTCAAATATCCCAGCTCCAGAAGGGGATAATGGAAATAAAGATGGTGCATTAAGGCAGACAGCATATTTTTGGAAATGGATACCAGGATTTTTTCATCTGTTGTCCACCACTGGTTTTCTCTGGGCACCTCTATCTACATGTGAAGGCTCCTAATAGAAAACACATTTAAAAATGCCTTTTTAAGCCACCTCCTAAATCTTTCAGCCCTCATGGGCATTGGTAGTTAAGAACCCCAACTAATGCCAGCCAGAGAACAAGCAGGCACTATGCAAGCATGTCTGTCCCAGTTTCTATATCTTGACACTGCTCTCCCCAGCTGTGGCTTTGACTCAAGAAACAATAAATTTGGCAAATACTCTGCTTGGCCATTTGATCTGTGACACTTTGGGAGATACTCACAAGCATTTTGTCCTATTCATAGGAGCTCTGTCTTTAATAAATGTCGTGCTTGTTTCCCTGACTCCAGAGGAGTCTGCTGGGAACGTCTAATTGCCCTGTGTGCCAGTGTGGCACAGCCCTACCCAGCCCCCCAGCATGCCCAGTGAAACCCTTCTTCTTCCCTCCATCACTCCCCAGCCAAGGTGCTTTGCTGGCAACTGGCCCAGCCCCGCTCCAGTTGCAGTTAAAATAACAGCGAGGTCCCAAATTTATCTGCAGCTATTTGGCTTATACAGTCATCTCTCTCTTTCTCCATCACACACCCCCACACCAGCTTTAGGCCACCTCATTACTGTCATTGCATTTACACTGACTGGAAGGGGAGACAGGAGAGAGAAATAATGGGATCAAGGCTGTAATATCAGTACAGAGAAGGGACAACTCCATCCAAAACTAAGGCACAGGACAGTCTGATCCTGTGGGTGATGTTGGAGTGAAGAGCTCAGCACCAGGGACATCCCAGTTCCTACTCTGCTCCCTCTGCAGAAATCGCCATATGTGATGACATTTAAAGGTAAAAGAAGAATGTTTTCATTTGGTTGGGTTTGCTTTTTCCCTGCTTTCCCCAAAACTGGAACCCTACTGCAGGAAGTCATATGGCACAAGGCAGAGAAGATCATCATTAAAAATAAGACAACATTCACCTTCCTTGCTCTGTGAGTGTAATTTAGGCTGGCCACTTGTCTTGGACAGCCTTCCTGACACTGGGAACACACTGTGCCTGCATTGCCTCTCTAAGGGCCATCCCTGCTCACCCACGAGTCCCGAGCAATTCTGTGTTACTGAGAGACTGTCCTGCCCCCTCTCCCTGTGTCCTGCCACATTCCCCTGCCACATCTGCTACATCAAACTCACGCTGCCTGAGAACAGACAAGGGAACTACTAATGTGGGAGGGAAGAGGAACCACTGGGGTTGCCTGCACTGAAACACAGATCCTGGTCTCATGGCATTTTCCAGCCCATTTTTACCTTCTCCCTCCTTTTCCATGGGATGCAGCCTCTCGCTTTCCAGCTTGAGTTTCCTGCTGATGCTTGACTCATTGTCCCTCTTAGGACCTATTTTTCATCTCCAATAGTTTCATCTTTTTACATTCTTCTTGGGCATATAGCCCATCTTATTTTGTGGCCTCCATCTATCCCTTCAACCATTTCCTTAGAGTCCTTCTCTTTCCATCACTGGTGTTTGCTGTGTTTATGACTTTAATGGCAGAGCTCATAGGAGCCTTCTTAGACACAGGCCATCAGTAAGCTGCAGTTGTTCAAACCTATGCTAAAAGTTGGCCCAGTCTAGTTTTATCATTATCTTTTCCCTCCTGAGTTTTGAGTGTTAAAGAGGATTCTTAGGCAGAGAAAGAAAGCATCCGTGAATTCACTCTTCTACAGGCCTTTGGCTTTGCAAATCACATCAGAGAGGAAATTCCCCAAAGCTGAGTCCTGTAACTGTAGCAAACTGAAATCCTACCCTGCAGCCAGGGAAGTGAGTCCAAGCGTGGTGCTCAGCAGCGGTTTGCCCCTGGCATGGAGTGTTGGGGCCAGCCCAGCCTGAGGCCAAACCTGAGCAAATGCAATGCCAGCACCCCATCCTGGGTCTCTCTAAGATGCAGGGGGGCTTTGCAGACTGATAGGGATCACTCATCATGCTCCAGGCCAGCAATTCTGCAGTGCCCCATGCTTCACTTCAAACCAACAATCCTTTCCCTCCTCCCCAATTCATTTCTGTCTCTCCTGGCCAACATCCACAAGTCATGCCTAGAAACCACAACTTCACCCCCGGGCCCCTCCTGCTGCCACTGGCTCTGCCTTGGAGGTTCATCACACACAGCTCTGCACCCTGACCTTTCCTTTCTGGGAATAGCATGCACTGCTTGCCTCCCATCACTTCCAAGGAAGCGGCAGCCTGACAGGAATACCCTGCCCCTCTCCCTGCCTCCTCCTGCCTCTACCAGCCCAAGCCCAACGTGGCAGCAGCCAATGTGTCATCACCTCCGGCACCAGGGAGAGATGCCGGCAACTGTCCCTTACAGTCTGATAGCAAATGTCAGAGGGAGGGGCTGGGACTGCAGGAGAACAGCCTGTACATCGCTCGCTGCCGGGGATGGGGAGGTGTTCATTCAAGGCTGGATGACTCTCCTGGAGCAGTTTAAATGCTATAAATAGGTACCCTGAGGATCCCCTTTTAAGAAGGGTCTTTATCTGCAGCAGGGAGCCCTGGAGGGACAGGGAACCACACAGTCAGCTTTAGATGAGCTCTACAAAACATGCTCTGCAATTACTGAGGAATAGCCTTCTTGTTCTGAGTCACAAAATGTCTTTCTGTGGTTCTGCTCTCCCTTTATCCTCCCACGGATCTCCTCTCTACAGCTCCCCTTTGCCTTGGCTGCTGTGCCTTAGTGACTTTGTCTACAAAGCTGATGGTGCATCCCTTCTGTGGGTTTGATCCCCATAAGGGTCACTACCTTAAGAGTTGGACTCAATGATTCTTGTGGGTCCCCTCCAATTCAGAGTATTCTGTCATTCTTCTTCACACCCAGCAGCTCTGCACTAGAGCTGTTCAGCCTGACTCATGTAAACAAGGTCCAGTGCTCAGCCAGACTCATGTCAAGGCAGGGTATCACAGTACCATTTGGGTTAGAGGGAGGTCACAGGTTACAGCATCACCACCAGTCAAGGCTGGTACAGATCAGCATCATTCTCTTGCTGACCACAGTTAAGATTACGCTTCCTCTCAGAAACCACGAGCAGCAACAGCACCTCATTCTCACGAGATACAGACCTGAGCTGTGGCCCTAACAAGGGACTGGAAAGAAATGGTGACAGCCTATGCCTGATCCCACTCATTCCCAAGCAGGATTGCCAGGTGAGGTCAATGGAGAGTGAGAAAATACCTGAACAGTGAGAAGAGATTCCCCAGTGAACAGGTACCAACCCAGCTCCTCCAGCCTGCTCCCCCGAACAGGGAGCTCCCACAATCTCTACCATGTGCAGACTTCCTTTCTCTACCAAGAGCGTATCGGAAAATCAGCACATCTACCACTGAGCCATTTGCTTTTGGGGACAGGCAGCAAGAAACTTATCTAGGGCTCTAGTTTCTCTCAGGAAAAACTGCCCTGCATTTCCAGCCACGACTCCAATACAACAGGACTTTCAGCCTTTGGAGCAGGGACCCTGTAACTCCAGGGGTATTTTGCACTGCTTTTGAAGTCACCTTCAAGGTTGCCTCACCAACTTGCTGTCCACATGCTGTAGCCCATGGGACCTCCACCCAACAGCCACTAAGGAGTGTCGTGTCCTGACAGGCACCATCATGGGAGGCACCATTTAATCTGATTCCAGCGGGTTTGGGAGGCAGGAAGAGCATTATGGCTTTGGGGTTGATAAGAAATGTTTTCAACAGTGTGGTTCTTGCTTCAGCTGCAAAGTATCAAGATGAGGGCAGTTCTCACCCAGGGGTGAACAAGCATTTCCTTCAGCCAGAGGAAAAAAAAAAATATTAAGGAGAGGTTTTTCACACTTGCATACACTTAAGAGGAAAAAATATTTACATGAGGGAAAAAGGACTTGGCAGGGGCTTCCCAGAGGCCATTTGCTGTTTATGCATTTCTCAGGACTGGGCTGAGGCCACAGAGCTCGGTGGTGGAGCCTGAACCTCCCTGAGCAGCTGAGGGGACTGTCTTTAGGGCTGGGGAGATCCTGTCAGTGTTCCTACTCTGCCTCCACATGCAGAGAAGTCGTGTCTGTGAGATCACAGGTAGCTCTGACAGTGGCTCCTGTGGTTTCCTAATGCCTTTCCTTTGTCATCCCTGGGGGACCAGAGCCAAGAGAGGCTGTTGGGAGCCTCAGGGTAACATCACATGTGCTGGGAAGCAGGAACTGGGCTCTAAGAATCTCTTAAGACCAACAAACCTTTCCAGGATGGGATGTGAAATAATCTCCAATTGGAATGTCTTGTTTTAACAGGGGTGGGGAGAGCTGGATGGCAGCTGAGGCTCCCACTGCAGAGGCTGAAGGTCTGACTGAGTCTTTCTTCGGGACCCCTGCAGTCAGCAATAGCTTGTACTTATAGCTGTGGCTCTCTATCTCTTGAAAGCACAAACCCACAAATTATTATAATTTGGGCATCTGCTGCTCTTTGGAATTGGCTGGTGTAATCCCTCCCTGTCCAAGCTGCAGAACAGCTCCCTGCTGTTGTTTCTGGAAAGGAGAAGACTCAAAATGTTCCAGGCACACTGGCCTCTGCTGCCAAGACTTTCACCATGCTCTTAAGTGGCATAAAGAATGCAAAATCCTTGTCATTGCAACATGCTGGGCTGGGATCCTATTTTACATTACCCATGCTCTTTCTTCACCCCCACCTGAAGCAACAGGAACATCAGGACAACAGGTAACAGAGAACAGGCCAGGAGACTGGGATACTTTCCCAAAGGCACAACCCCATGAGGTTTTCCAATCCTAGCTAGGAGATAAAGCAACCTGGGACAGACAGCAGTGTCCTACCACCACACCATGCTTCTGTCACCCCATTCCTGCAGGGCCATTCACTCCATTACCTCCTTCCAGCCCAAGCTCCAAACCAGCACAGCTGAAGAAGCTGCAGCACAGTGCTTGGTGCTGAGTCAACACTCAGAAGCTCTGTGAGGTGTGAGGTAAGACCTTGCTCAGACAGCTGAGAAGGAGCAAAGTCACCATTCCTTCCTGCTGTGTGCCAGCGTGGGGGCTCTGGGATGGAGCGGAGCAGGGACAGCACTGGGTTCTACAGATCAGTACCAGCTACATTTTGCAGTGTTTCATGTTTCCCATCCCAACAGCCTCAGCACTGGACATCTGTGTTTCCTCCCAATCCCAGGGAACGCTGGCACTGGTGACCAGCAACAGAGGATTAAAGCCTCCAGCTGTACTGGTCCATGTTTCTGCAGCAGCATGGGAAGTGCTTCCATGGGAGCGCAGGAGCCATTCAAGACTGCCACTGTTTCCAGTCCAAACAGGCAGGAAAGCAGGTGGACTTTTTAAAACCCTGTTTGCAGATTCTGGCATAAGATGTGAAAAACAGATAAGCCTTTTTACAGCGAGGTGTTGAGAACCCTCAGCTCCTTCACCATTTTCAGTGCTCAAAGCACTGAATAAATTAATGAAATTCTTGTCCACACTATGTTTGCCTCCCTGCCAGCATCCACCTCTTGAGGTGTTGATTTTCTTTAATGAGCCCTGAATGATCATTGGAAGAGTCTTGGAAAGTATGGGGGAAATAGAGCCAGCAAAACAGCTTTAAGCAAGGACACTTGACTACAAGCATTCCACAATTACTCTTTATTTAAACACAATATCAATAGGACCTGCAATAAATACTCAAAGTTTTGAACATACAGATCTTCATCTATGTATGTATCCAGCACAGTGAAACACTTTTACATTTCCTTGTTATATACAGGTCTATATATTGTTGTATATAGATAATGGAGATATATATGCAGACATATACATATATCTGTAATGCACTTGTGCAAAAATGACCTTACCAAGGACAGTAAACAATTAAATATTTCCCAATCCGCTCTCCCTGGCACTGGCAATATTGCACAGAAATTCAGTTGTATGCTCCTGCCACTGGGAGGGTGAGAAAATGGGAAAAACTGAAATTGCATGCACGGAGAAGCAGCAAATCCACTTTTTTCATGATGAAGAAAGTTTATAAAAGCTTGGTACCCACTAAAATACTCTGCATGATTCATCACCTTTACACACAGCAATTCCAGCGAACACCCACTGCCAGATTCAGGGGAATCAGGGTTGTGTTCTGCTCTTACAACGCTTACCACTTATCACTTTACTTCCAAGTCGTGTAAACCCCAGTTTCCAGCATGCACTGCTCTGTCGAGACCCAGGCTGTGTCACTGGAGAAGTGACTGTGCTCCCAGCTGGGCTGGCCATACTTTGTTCTGTGCCAGGCAAATACAAGCCTCAGTCCTTCGACCGAGGCTGCGAGAGAGAGCAGAGGTGCCACGGGATCTGCCCGTGCCACCAGCTGCAGCTGGAGCCCTTGAGGAACAGCTGTAGTGCATCTCCCAAGAGCCAGTGCTGGGTGGAATATTGCTGCCCTACTCTGGAATGTGACAAAAATCACCTACAGGTTCCCCTGGGTGCCCTGTGTCCCTGGTGACCCACAGAAATGTCTTGGCAAGAGGGTCTAGCTACCCCTGCTGCCAAAGGACAGCATTCTCACAGCCCAGGATGTGTGTTCAGTGCAAAATGTTCCCTTTGCCCCCAGGAAGAAAGATTAGTACTAATGTTTGCTTTCAAAATAGATCCAATAAAAGTACAACAAGGGGAAGAAATACTGGGGCTGCTCAGAAAGGGCCAGGTTTTCACACTGGAAGAGACTGCTGCACAGGGAGGAGATGCCAAAGTGGCTGTGGTCCTACTGTGGAACTGAGAAACCAAGCAAATTGTAAAAGCAGTGATGAAAGGAACCTTAATCTTGCAAAACACTAATCTCAGGGAGCCTGGAGTCACACTGCCTCTCTGCTGAGAACATAGAAGGCCAGGACAGCTTTTCACAACAGCTCTTGCTCATCTGAACCTGCAGAACTGCTCTGGGTACCACACACATTGCACACGAAGCGCAGGCACAAGGTAGCAAACAGCGTGGGTCAGCCAAGGAATGAGGTGCTTCACCAGGGCTGGATGCCCCTGCACAGGCAGCTGGGGAGGGGAAGACTGGGGTATTGCTGGTGAGAAGACCAGTGTGTACCTTCCCAGCTCACCCTTCAATCCTCACAGCCCAGGGAAACAGCCAGGCACTGCCATGGTCAAGAAACCTTGGTTTCCCTGATGCTTTTAGGATGGCACTTTGTATCTGCTGACAGAGAGCAGAGAAGGGAACATGCAAGACAGGCCATCCTCCCTCCTGCCAGAGGAATGAATGTGCTCATAAACCCATCTCCTTGGGAAATGGATTCATCATACAGTGAAAATAAACACTTGGAGGCAGAGGACTGGCAAAGGGAGGGACAAAGCCCTTCCCTCAGACAGTGTGGGTGTTTGAGACTCCTGGCAGCAGGAGCTGTAATTAAAGGTGCAGGAGCAGATTGTCCCCTGCCTGTACGAGCCAGCAGGGAAGAGAATGAGCCTGGCAGAACCAAGAGTTTTGGCTAAAACTCGAGGGAAAATGGACAAGTTTAGGACTTCTGGAAAAAGGGTAGGCAACTCGGGCAACAACAAGGATATTGTGAGGTGATGCAGGGAGAAAAATTAGAAGGACTAAAGCCCAACTAGGGCTTAATCTGACTGTTGCCATAAAAGACAATTAAAAATATATTTGTGTAAATATATCAGCAATAGAAGGAGGGCTGAGGAGAATCTCCATACTTTATTGGGAAGACACAGTGACAAAGGATGAGGAAAAGGCTGAGGTACTTAATGCCTTCTTGGTTTCAGTCTATATTAATCAGACCAGTTGTGCTCCAAGCACCCAACCCCCTGAGCTGGAAGATCTCCTTTGCCAATGTGATCTGCTTAGTAGATGAGGGAAAGGTTGTGAATGATGTCTACCTGGACTCTAGTTAAACCTTTAGCACCTATTTCCCACAGCATTCTCCTGGAGAAACTGGCTTCCCATGGCTTGGATGGGTACACTGTTTGCTGGGTACAAAAATGACTGGGTGGATGGGCCCAGAGAGTGATGGGGAATAGAGCTGAATCCAGCTGATGGCTGGTAACCAGTGGTGTTTCCCAGGGACCAGTTTTGGGGCTAGTCCTGTTTTAATATCTTTATTGATGATCTGGACAAGGGGATCAAATGCATCCCCAGTAAAATTACAGATGACACTAATTTGGGGGAAGTATTGATTTGCTGGAGAGCAGGAAGGCTCTGCAGATGGATCTGGACAGGCTGGATTGGGCAGATGTCAGCACTGGATCGACGGCAGTGCTGGGTTCACAGTTGTACTTGACCTTAAAGATCTTTTCCAATCTAAAAGATTCCATGATTCTATACCGGAAGAGCAAGAGATGCTGGGAGATAGACTGCAGCCTGCTTACTGCCAGCCAGCCCTTGCAATAACCCTCCCCTCAGTGACAAAAGCATGTCCCTTATAGTAAATAAACTCTTAAATGGGCCCTTTGCAAAGCCCAGCAGCTGTGACGTGGGAGAGCTGAGGAGCACATTGTGTGCCCGCTCACACATCCGCTCCCTCTCTGGAGAAGCAGGGCTCTCCTTTCTACTCTATTAATCCCTGGCCTATTTTCAAACATTTGGGTGCATTTAGTAACTGCTGAAGGACAGTGGTTCAGCAGGGGCCTCACCTTGACCTGAACCCCAGAGGAGGCTGCACAGTCTGGACACAGCTCCACAGGCAAGGCTGGGGCAGGCACAGCCCTGACACCCCACAGCCACGGGATATGAATCCATAGGCGATGCTGCCCAGTGGGAATTGCTGAACAACTCGGGATATGAGGCGCTTTGGGAACAACCTGTCCTCAAAAGATGCTTGAGTCTCATTTCCAGGTGGGGATCTACATCCAGACTCTGTTCTCTCTGCCAGCTTCCCATGCACTTCCACATCTCCCTAGTGCCAGAGCAAGCTGCAGGTTATATTTCCAGGCCTGGCTACCCAGAAAGCAAAAGCTCTCCAGGAATGCTCCCAAGAGGCAAAGGACTAACATAACTCAGGAGCTTTCAATGCTCTGGCTCTTTTGGAGGATGAAGCAAAGGCGGCTCCTGATGTGAAAGCTGCAGCTGCCCGAATTGCGAAGCGGGACCTACAGCAAGGGCAGGTAGTATTTTGTAACAATACAAAAGCTGTGTTTGTGATCTCTCTCTCAACTAAGACTTTAGAAACAATAACAATCTGTTTGGCAAAAGTGGCTAAAAGCAGTGAACATACTGCCAAACTCGACTCAGCTGCACACACCAACACTTGGGGGTCATACCCCCACCCGTGTCCCCACTGGCACGGCTGGGCAGTATCCCTCCCGTGCTCTACCCACCTTGATGGCAGTGACACAAGGTACAAGCCAGCAGCACAGCAGGTAGCCTGCTCTGTTTGCAGTAACAATTTGGTGTTTATCACTGTGTGTTTTATCAGATGTATTTAACCTGAGCCAACTCTCTGCTAGTGTAAATCCTAAGTACCTTAAAATCCAATTTACCAGCTACTCCTGACTTCAGTGCTCCATTTTTTAATGCCTAGCATGTATCTATAAAGCTATTTTTGTAGTGTAAAATATTTTAACAAGCCAAAGCTTTTCTTTTCCAGTCATGGAACAGGAAAGGTTTGTCAGGTTAGGTTTTGGTGGTGCCACAATATTTTTTCCTCTAATATTTCTCTCTTTCAGTTCCAGCTGCCCCCAGAACTGCACATTTTATATTTTAATAGTTTTACTAGAGGAGAGAAATCAGTTCTTCGACACTCAGACTCCACTGCAAGCCTGAAGTTTCCTAACACTGTAGCTGAGCTTTGCAGTACCAGGGGTCAACTGACCAGTGCAAACAGCCCAACATTCCCTGTCCCTTCCACATCCACGTGCTCTGGATACTGGAGTGGATTTACATTGTCACTTGCTCATCTCTCCGTTTTGGCTACACAGAGCCACAACATCTGAAGTATAAACAGAGGCAGCCAAACAAACAGAGAGATTATTTGGACAACAAAGTCCTGGACCACAACATGTGCTACTGAAATGCCAGTAATAAATAACAGTGAAAATAAAGACCCCAACATGTGGATGTGGGATTTTTTTGTGCAGGAGGGTCCTGTCTCAAAGCTGGTGAGAGTTTTTACTGAGCCTGTTCGAGGCTGGCTGACCCCCCACCGCTGTGGGGCACCTCCTCCCTCTGTGCCCTTGCTACCTGCCAACCCACTCTGTCCCCGGGTATTGCAAAATAAAAGTGACTGGCAAGACTCAAAATGCAGGAGACAGAACAACACAGAAGATATTGATCTCCACAATCAAGAGGTTAATTGTCACTTCCCCTCAATCCTACATAATAATCATGACCTGCACTGTTCTGAAGTGCATCTCCAGCCCCTGCATAAGTACCTATACTGTGTGTACCTACACGGTCTCCACATCACACCAGCCTGTCACCTTTCAGTCCTTGTGCAATATGAAGCAAACAGCACCTGACTGGCAGTCCTTGTCCCGCTCTGGGTCTCCCCTGCTCGGGCAGCCTGTTAATGTTTATCTGAGGAGCTGACCTGGGGCCTCACACACCACAGCGTTAGATCACACCCTTCCTCACGCTCAGAGGACTTGGGGCACTGCTGACATCCCTCCCACGGCAGCAGGTAAGGGCACAGACAGGTGCAGGCAACAAGGTAGAGAGGCAGGAGGGAAGGACTCAGCCACATTCTCTGCCTCTGCTGTAGTGCTGAACTGCAAAGGCAGTAAAGTGCAGCTGAGTCAAAGGAGTAGAGGGGCTTTTACAACTCTTCCTCCTTCCTAGCACCCGTTTCAAGCAGGATCAGTACCACTCAGGGAAAAAAAAGAGGGGAGCACTAGGAGTTTCCATATCCCAGCCCCGCACAAGCCAGGTGGGGTTTTACCATGAAGGGTGTGAGAGTTTGTGGAGCTTGTCCCCACACCTTGCAGCAGCAGCAGAGACCATCAGTAATGACACCCCCATGCCGTTCGGGGGGTGGGATTCCCCTCCAGCATTCCCTGGGGTTGCCCCTGACAGCACCAGCGCTTGGGACAAGTCCTTCTCTGAGCAGCCAAGAGAGCCAAGGCGACACGGGGACTGCAAAGAGGTGTCAGTAACCAGAAACCCTACTCCACCCCCCTCCCAGCCTTCAGGACAGCGCACAGCGCTGCTCCTAAGCCCCTCTGTCTCCAGCACCGGGGGGTACCAGCCTGGGGGGGTCAGCTCCGGGCTGGTCACCCCACTGCGTTTGCAAAGCTAGTTTTGCCACGGACCCAGCGACACCCTGGTGACCCACCCACTGACCACGGCACGGCCCAAGCAGCAACGCAACCAACACCCCGGTAGTGCGGGGAAAACGCGTGGAAATTCGGGGGATCCACACACGGGCAGTGCCCGAGCGTTCCCCCGCGGGACATCACGGTCCCAGGGAGCGCCGGCAGGTCCCGTGGGCACCGTTTCCCCGAACCACTCCCGAGTGTTTCTGAAAGGACCCCGCGCTTGCACAACCTCCCGGCCCGCGGGTCCAGCCTGTCACGCAGCACGGCGGCTGCAGGCAGTGGGGGAGCTACATTCCCCGCTTCCCCAGCCCAAATTGCTGCTTCCCTCCAGCTAGGGACTCCCAGAGAGCCAGCACTCGACAGCAGAGCTGTCCTGTCCTGCCACCCAAACCTGCCTGCCCGTGTCTGCTGCCGCCCGCCAGCCCTGCCCGCCCGCCGCCAGCCCCGCAGCGCGGGGACACCAAGACAGAGCGTCTTACACGGGGAAAAAAACCTCCACAGCCAACCCAACAGACCTGCAGCCGTCCCACGGTCGGAGCTGAGCTGGGTGCCATGGAAAATAAAAACCCTCCTCTCCTCCCACCTCCTCGGGCTCACTGTCATCTGAGACTTGTAGTTAAACAAACTGGGTGCTTTAAGAGCTTTTGGTTGGATGCAGAACGACGGTCTGTGGTTGCAGCAGCATGTCACCCGACTTCCCAGTACAACATTCCTGAGTCCCACAGTCACAGGCTCACATTTTAGGCAAATAGTCCATTTATTCCTATTATTATTATTTCAGCACAAAATCCTGTAGTGCTTGGCAAAGAAGAATTCGCGGTTTCTGGGCGTTGACAGAACTGTCCCACCGCCGGTCACAGCCGCGGCCGTGATCCAGCCCTGCCGACCCGCGCTCAGCCCCCAGTCCCAGCACCCCTTCCACGCTATTTTGTCGCAGAGTGCCACCTCCGCGCAGTCCCCCGGGCTGGACAACACTGGCACCACCGCCCGAGATGCCCACCTGGCCGGGGACGGCTCCCACGGCCACCAGCTCGGTTATGAAAAGGGGACCTGGAGGAGTCCCGCGGGACGCCCGGCTCCTCAGCGGGGCTGCCGCCGGGGCAGGGGGGGTCCAGCCCCAGCCCCGCTCCCGCCGCCCAGCACGGCTCTCCCGCAGGAGCCACCGGCTGCTCACAGCAAGGTCAAGAGGTAGTTCAACACCGGCCACGGCCAGGAAGTCCTTCCGGGAACGTGCATTCTGCACAGCCTCAA